GATAAATACTTATATGCTGCATAAATGCAGGACGAAACAAAATTTAGTCTACTACACAATCTGTCGTGAAACTATTGTAAAGGTAAACTTACATCTTTGAGGGTGTTAAGAATCTCCTTTAAAGCTGATGGTGCAACTGCATCATGGGATATGAGCTTTTGCAGACAAGATAGTCCAATCACACTCAACTTCACGGTCCTAACTTCACAGGCCATCAGAAAGATATTCAGTATATCCTCACTATGCGCAATTTCACTAGGACTCGACAATGATCTCAGCTGCAAATTCAGTACCATACCCAGTTCAAAACTCACATCTTCTGAAAATTCCACTTCTTTTCACATTCAATAACCAAAACGGAATAGAGAAACAAATATGGAAAGCTTAGGTAGCTAAGTGGTATCGGTATGTGAAATTCAGTTATATTTCAAAAATTATAAACTTTCAGTTACTGAACAGTTTATTTGCGGAATGCTTAACAATATCAGCTTAAAATTATAGTATATATCAAAGAAATAGAAGAAGAAATCAAACCTTCAAGATGGCATGTTCTGCGGCGTCCTTAACGGCGGGATACCGGCGGCGTGCCTCCGCGGAGAGAGCTCGAAGATCCGACTCCAAAACCGCCATGAATGCCATCTCTCTCCGATCAAGTAAAGCTAGATTCAGTATTTACTCAGCCTCGACTTTTCAAAGGTAAAAGAGATCGAAATTAAAACGTTAGTTTTCATGGAAATTTTCATGGAAAGAGAGCGGGGCATTGAGAAAGAAGATCTGCCATCGCTGGACGTTCAGTGACTGTGTGCACGTGCTGCGCACGCGGTCTACAGAGAGGGGAGACAAACAACCAACGAGTTGCCGAGTTGGGCTGTCATATGTCTAATGTCTTAACAAATAAAATGAATAACACCCTGGGTCCATAAGAAATCGGAAGATATAAGTATAGGCCCATTTATTAGAGCAATGAGAAATTGCCCATTTATAAAAGGACACCATGACTGATGACCCAGATTCAACTTTCAAGGTGGACCCGAATCTAAAATACACAATTTCTATATTAAATATTTACAATTTACATACTAAATATTTACAATTTGAATTGTGAACATTTACAGCACGTTTGGTTCACGGAATGAATTTTGAAGTAATAGAAATGCTATTCCATAATGAACGAAATAGGCAAGGAATAGAATATGAATTGTATTAGTTTGGTTCGCGAAACGAATAGACTTTAGGATTACATTACCGTGTTTGGTTGATTTAAGAAATAGAAATGAAATATGTTTTAAAAGACATAAATACCCTTACAAAAATATGTGATGGTGGCGATAGTGGTGGTGGCAGTGGCAGTGGCGTTGGTGGCGGTGGTGGTGGTGGCGGCGGCGACGACGGTGGTGGTGGCGGCGTGGTTGTGGTGGGCGGTAGCGGTGGTGCTACTGGGGTGGTGGTGGTGGTGGTAGCGGTGGTGGCGGTGGTGAAATAGGAAATAAATTTAATTGGGGTGAAATATGAAATAGAAATTTTAGGCTATTCTCGAGAACTCAGGAATAACCTAATAGCAGGGGGCCCCAGGAATCTCTATTCCCCTTGTCATTCCCGGGAACAATGTTCATGGGAATACAAGTGGTTACCAAACAGAGGAATAGGTCTAGCTATTACTGGGAATGTTATGTCATTCTAGGCCTATTCTATGAACCAATTCAAACAGCCCATTACAGGGCGTTTGGTTGGAAGGGGGGAATTATGTGGGAAAGGAATTGTAATTCCACGGGAGTTGAATTACCGGGAATAAAGTTGGAATTTAAATTTCAGTGTTTGGTTGACAGGAATAGAATTACTGGGAATTTCAATTCCAATGTTTGGTATACATGGGAATTGAAAGGGAATAAATAGTATAAAGTCAAAAATGTCCATTATTGTTGTTAGACATTAATTTTAAGTTAAAAAAGGAAGGGGTAATTTTGACTCATCACTATCTTTATTTCCTAGGAATTAAAATACCAGGGGAGACATGGGATTTTAATTCCATGAAAATGGGGGAATTGCAATTCCAGGAATTGCAATTCCCTCCAACCAAACTACGGAATTTAATGACCTTTAGAATTAGGTGGGAATTAAGTGGGAAGGGAATTTAAAATCCCTCCAACCAAACGCCCTGTTAGTACGTAAATTGTGAACATTCAGTATGTAAATTGTGTATTTTTAATCCAAATTCATCTTGCAAAGTGGGTTTAGGTCTACATAATAATTTTTCACATTAAAATCAATGTTTCAAATAATTAATCTAAACATTTTAAGAAAAATTGGTGTGTATTCAATCTAATCATTATATGATGGATCATGGTTTAAATGATTCAAAACGGTGTCGTTTCGAAAATAAAGTAGCGTTGTTAAAGTAAACCAATTGCATATATGCAACATGCACCACTTTTTAAAAATATAAAAACGAAAAGCAAACTTTTGATTTCATTACTTTTCTAGCGCGCTATTGTTACTTCTCCAAGCTTCGAGCATTTGTGTTCTTCTCTTTCCGACGCCATTGTTGCAAGTCTAAAGCTTCATTAAATGTGGTAATATTGTTATCCTATATATAGGCATTGCTTCAATTCATTCCTTGCTAAAATGCATTCGAAAAACAGACACAATATTTCGTAGAAAAACTAAAAGTTCAGAACCCTAAACACTAATGAAATGTAAAGACGTTCAATTCATTACAATGTAGTAATAAGCTGGTTCATTAGGCTTAAGCTTCATTATATATATACACTAGTTCTTTTAGGCGATTTGTGCGAATAAAATAATGCCCAATGATTATTTTTAAATAAGTATTTCAAAGTATATCAATGCAATATTATATCGGAAATATTCATGCATAGGTAAATAAATATTGAATTTGTTTATTGAAATCGGTAATGTATATTGAATAGCAAGTCTCATACATTGAATGTATATTGTCAAATGAACATTTAGATGAATTAAAATGATACTTTAATATTGTGTGTATATAATAATGAAACTGAATATCGAGTCTCATACATTAAATGTATATTGTCAAATGAACATGAAGTTAAATTAGAATGATACTTTAGTGATTCTATAATAAAACTATCGTATGTATAAAATGAAACTGAATGATCCCACAATTATTGAATATCTTATTTCTCTATAGAGCATGGTTGGATTTATTCAGCATACCCCAACCGCTCTCTACTTAGAAATCTTATATTCAATAAATCTAGGGTGTGTGTTTGGTTCATGGGTTTTCACATTAGGAAAGGGAATCAAAATCATATATAGTTAGTGTTTGGTTGACTATTTTTTAAAACACAACTATGGGATTTGATTACCACGTCAATTAAAAATTTCATTCCCTAATTAAAAAGGGTATCATTCCATCGTATTGGTAATCTAATTTTTAAGTTTAATTGCAAGAGTACTTTTAGATTTTTGTTTTGATTTTTTTTTTTTTGGTTCATATTGATGTTTTGGATGTCGTTATATTATGATCAATTGCATTGATTTTTTTATTTTTGTATTTTTAAAACCTTTATTTACATTATAGGGTCATACATAACCAAATATTGCTAATCATTCCAATTCCACCATAGTACCAAACATGCAAAATACTTTCACCAAAATCCATTATCATTATTAAGTATTTGATTCCATTCTCATTCTTATTCTGATTAGCAACCAACAAAAAGACTAACCAAAAAAGTTTAAACTGTAACACCAGAACAAACCATTGCTAAGAATGGATATCTATTAAGAAGGATGTTCCCTAAACAAGTGCATACCCTATTTTCTTCCATCACCCTAAAACAAAGACAAGATGTAGAAGATGTCAGGTTTTGGGCAATATTAAACTTGCGCCTATCTGAGTGAGATGATATATTAACTAGCTAGGTATCTTATCGAAAGATTTGATGTCTATAAATGTGTATGTCTATAAATGTGTACTAAAATTGAAAGGATATGAAATGATAATATAAGAGAAAGATGTAGAAAGAACCGCAAATCTTCCTAGAGGTCAAAACCATGTGACTGAGAGCACTTCAAAAAATGAAACTCATGAGTACAACAACTAGTTGAAAGAGACGAGAGAATAACGGGTATAACTTGCGGTTCCTCAATAACTAGCAAAATGGTACCAATAATGAACAAAACGGGAGACCACGGTAAAATGTTTAAGAGAAATTTCATTGTGTTAGTGGTTTAAAGCTTGATAAAAGGAAATTAAGGAAGGAAAGCAAACTACAAAATCCTTTATTCATTGATGGATGTTAGAGGTATAAAGGATCTCATCAAGTGATGTCAATACACCTTCAAACTCAAGTGATGTCAATACACCTTCAAAATGCATGGTTATTAGAATGCATTGCAAGTCTTTTCCAAAAGAGGTCTAGAGTTTCTTAAATGGATAATAATTTTAGGTGTGGCTCATGAATGAAGTTTCCAACATAAGAGATTAATTTCACTTTTGGTCCTATGATTATTGGAGTGTTGTCAATTTGAATCCACAATTTTCAAAAGTAATAGTTTAGTACCTTAACTATTTAATTTTTATTAATTTTAGTCAGTCCGACCAAATTATCAGTCAATTGTTGCCAGATTCTTTTAATTCAGTGTTAAAATGGAAGCTAATTTGTAAACCATTGTTTGAATTAATACAGAGGCTGGTGGGATGTGGAAAAAAATTGGCGACAATTGGCTGACAATTTGACCAGAATGATTAAAATTGATAAAAAAAAAAAAAGTAAATAGTTAGGGTACTAAATTGTTAATTTTGAAAGTTGTGGACTAAAATTAACAACATCCCAATAATCATAGGACCAAAAGTGAAATTAACCCTTAAAATATATATCAAATAGTTGCAATTATTAAGTAGATTAAAAATTAATAAATAAATTTGAAGCATAATTTCAAATCTTTGTATATGCAAACATTTTTTTAACCTCATCAAAAAATAAAAAAAAATTATGCTAGGAGTGGAGTCCTTCCTAAGGTTGGGTCCATGGCGGATGCCCTTCCGGCCCGCCCTCAAAGCGGGCCCTGACTGCACCTTTGATACTCTCCATAGTGCACATAATGAGGCTATTAACCGTCGCTACCGAGCTAAGAGATAGGTTCGCCGTCGGAACTGAATCGACCAGAACCTGGAAAGCAACGGTGATCAGTGATCCGCCGGACCCAATCTCAGGGCTCAACCCTCCATTGCCGGGTGGCCCGTCGGGGAGTATGGCGAAGCCGGACGGCAAGAGGGCGACGTAGTCAGGGTCGCCGCCGCTTAGGACCACACGCATGGCGACAATGTCCACCGGAGCGTACATAACAAAGCAGCCTGTTGAATCCGTGCAGCTCTCTTGCAGTATCATCAGCATATTTCCCTGGCTTGAATTCGCACTCTGTAACATAAATAAATAAATATATATATATATATATATATATATATATATATGCATGATTAATTAGTACCGGAATTCATCGTACATATTATCAGATTCAACGGAAAGGGAAGACATGAAATGAGAGGAGGCCAGGAGGAGATGAGAAAGCCTACGTTAACACGCAGTAGAGATACATTGTTCCCTGGATCACGACCATTGGCAATATGTGCGATTTCTTGAACAAGACGGCCATTTGAGAGAATATCCCACTGTTCATGAATCATAGGATATATATATATATATATATATATATATATATATATATATATATATATATATATATATATATATATATATATATATATGTTTGTGGGTGTGGGTTTTCTGGTAGTGAAAGAAAGAAAAGAATATGATATGATATAAATGGTTATTACTTACCTCCCTTCTGGAGTTTTGATCGCGAAGGAAATCGAAGACTGTTTTGGGTGGAAGGGGGAGGAAGAATGAAGTGGCAGCGCTTAGCACAATACCAGGTGGTGTCCCAGGGTCATCTATGCTCTTCCTAGTCATAACCCTAACATCATCGGCGCCGCTGCCCGACAGCGTCGTCCATGTCTGAGAAGTAGAGGCCCCAACACCGGCGCAGAAACTCATCACCATTCTCTCAGCCAGTTTAAGGATGCTCTTTCTGCCCTCTGGGCTTGTTATTACTGCACACCAATCACTATCAGCACCTCGATCAGATGAATACCATTGATTTATTTTGTTGTAGAGGAAGAACAGAGAGAGTAAAAGGCATTGACATATATATATATATATATATATATATATATATATATATATATATATATATATACCTCCACCGTCTACTGCCGGAATAATGTTATAAGCCGCCATTGCGCTTGCCAGGCGTTCGCATTGCCGATCCAGTGTGGCTATCCAGCGTTTGGCTCCAAATGCAAGGCCGGAGTTGACTAATGGCCTGTAAATGCTATGAACTGCTCGATCATCAACTTCAACCACATGCTCAATCCATGTCACCTGCACCAAATTATGGAATCATGGAAGATAGAATATTAGCTAATATGATTTACATAACTTTTTCATACATTCTGTTTTAAGTTTAAGCCAGACTAATCTTAAACTCCAGCAGTTAACCCCAGAAGTTAAAGAGTATCCCGAGCAACCTAAACAGTCTCCAAGTCAGTCAATATGTTGTTGGTCGATCACTTGACCTAGCCCCGTGGGGCCCACAATTTGGAACAATTTACCGTAATAACTTAATAGCAGTGTTGTAAAAATCACGAATCGACGCTTAAACGCTAGACGGTCGTCGACCTCCAAGGTGCCCTAGGCGTATGCTTTGCCAACCCAATCTTCAATATAATCTTATTGTTGGAGTGCTAGGTCAGGTGGTTGATCACTTGACCTAGTCCCATAGGGCCCGCAGTTTGAGACAATTTACCGTAATAACTTAATAGCAGTGTTGCAAAATAGGCAAATGGGCATGGGCGCGCCTAACCGCATAGGCGTTCTAGGTACCTTAGGCGGTCCCAGGCGCTTAGCGATTTTTTCAACAATGCTTAGTACTAGGATGGATGGGAGAGGATTGACGTACCCTAGAGTAACCATTAGGCATTTCTTGGATCAAACAACCAGAAGGCCTTCTTCTACATCGGGAGAGTGTGTCCAAGGAAACATCGACGACAGCCCAAGTTCCATCGGAATGTTGTTTGCAGTATCGCACGAAATAATTCTCCCGTGTTGGGACAAGCGGTGAAGGGACTTGAAACTCAGCACTCATCTAATTTAAGAAAAACCAAACAATATACATATATAATTAAAGAAAAGAAGCTTCAATTCATTCATTCTAACCAAATTAAAATGTTGCATTAAGATTAATTATTAATGTAATTACCGACCACTTGTAATGCTCCATTGTAGTAGTTCCCTGCAACGCCAGTCGATAAGACCTCCAAAGTCATCGCTCTCGAAACAATGCCAGCAAACACATTCGACCACTGGTTCTGAAACCAGTTAAAACCCAAGAAATGATCGAAATTAGAAACAATAATAACTATATATAATGGCTAATTATATTCACCAGAATTTTATTATATTCGTACCACATCCATGAGAATTTCGACGAGATTAACGTGGTTCATCATGACAACCGCAGATTCTCGCGAAGCTTCAGATTTCAATCCGAGAGGTTTTGGGCCGATTCCTCGGGGAAACGTCCGGACATATTCCTCCTCACATAAGACCTTACTGGAGTTGTCTGGACTAGGAACCCACAAAGGCTCTCCAGTTTGCGCCATTCTTATCAGCTCCTCCATTGCCGCCACCGCAAGCTCAATGATCATCTGCTTGTCAGCTTCCATGGGGCCGGAAACTGACCGGAGAAGATCGCCGGCGCTGTACAGCTCCCCTGGCTGATGCCCAAACGTCGCAGCAATCTGGGTAATCCTTTCAATCTACACAGATTACACATACATACATAGTAACATTAAATTCAAGAAATTCCTTGTAACTTACACGCTCGATCAATAATATAATATATACCTCTTCTCTGAGGCGAACATTTTCGATCCTTATTAACTGTTGTTCATCAAATGACATATCTCCGATGGCCGCCGGCCCTCCACAGTTGGGGCAAGTGGCGTTGCCCAGTAGTGCTCCCCGGTAACGGATGTTGTCTGCTCGAAGCTTCTCGTTCTCGGCCCGAAGTTGCGTGTTCTCACTGCGATCATTTTGTGCCTAAACCAAAACAGCCCGCAAATTAAAGGTGACATTTTTACATCTTTTAATGCAATTAAGGATGTTGGTTTTCCTTAAATTCGATCAAACGACATTAAAAGGAAAATCATTAAACCGATCGAAACAAAGGGGGAACTGAACCTTCATTTGACTGCGCTTGTTCTGGAACCAAAACTTGACTTGCAGAGCCTCCAGCCCTAATCTACGTCCAAGATCCTTCCTTTGCGTATCATCAGGATGTGGGCATTCTATGAAAAACCTGTTACATTAAAATTATCTCTCAATCAGTTTAGCTCGGGACAGTTGATAAGTGGAAAAACTATTTTTGATTATTTTGACTAACATGCAGAACCAACTTACGATTCCATTTCTTGGATTTGATGTTGAGTGTGGCGGTAGTGGCGGCGCTTCTTTTTATTAGGGCGTTGGTTGGGATCTTGATCGTCGCCGGAGGGTGCTTCCATGATATCATTGCCGGATTTGCTCTCATATTCTTCATCTCTGATCATATTAGCCAACTCGTTTTCTGGGTTCTTCTGACTGCTCATACACAGCGCCCGCAGCAGATGATGCTGGTGCCTTTCCTACATGTTTTGTAGAGATTTATTTTACCATATTTATTTGTAATGTGATTAGTCAATCATGGGATTTTTTTTTACCTTTATTTTCTTTGTTACCATTGAGTAGCTAGTATATATATAGAAGCAAATGCATAGCTATTGAGGGCATGCTTATTTGTTTGTTTGATTTTTTTAAATATATATATATATATATATATATATATATATATATATATATATATATATATATATATATATATATATATATATATATATATATATGTGCATTATTGTATTGCTATCAATTCATATAATTGGATATGATTATTTAAAAGAAAACAAATATTCATTATTGTCAAATTTAAAAAAAAAAAAATCACAAGATATAAATATTTTGATTGCCAAAGACCTTGGGGTGAGCAAACGAGAGGTCTTAGGTTTGAACCCCGATAAACCATAAATTATTTCATTAGACATTAAAATTGGGCAAATAATTACTGTGCAAAGTTTGGACACATATTTTTTTAATACTACTAACTCTGTTACAATGGAGTATCTGTTACATACTAGCAGTACGTAACTTAATTAGGCATTATTGTATTGCTGTTGAATATAGTTGGATGTGAAAAGTGATCAAAGAAAACTTAAATATATGCTACCGGGAAATAGCACAAACTATATAAAGAGCTACAGCTCTTCTAACTCATTCAGTTCTATACATAGTTCGTAAAATTTAACTAGCTAGAGCTTTGTTATTGTCATTCCAATTCGATCTTGTTAGAAAACTTATAGGGAAATTAATATTCATAAGTTTTAATTTGTACATACGATTTAAAGTTTATGTGATTATTTGAAATTGTGGGGTGAGTAAATAAGCACATAACATTAGATAATGGATATACTTTTTCTCTCTCTAGATTCTCTCTAGGGTTTTTGGGTCTCCCTAGGGTTCTTCTATGTTTTCTTGGTTCTCCGGTTGATCTTCTGGTTAAACGAACGGCAAAATCCAGTTCTGTTACGGCAACGGTGTTGGCTGAGCGTCGACGATGGACCCCCTGCAACATGAAGGCCATGAAGGCCATGATGATATCGTCGAACAGCGAGAGGAAACGGACGAAACGGTCGAGCGGCTCACGCAGCGTTGGGCAGACCTAGCGATTGAGGAAGAGGGGGATGCCGGTTTCGAACTGGTGGGGGATGGGGTTGGAGTTGTGGCGGATGAGGAAGAGAAAACTTGGGTTTGCGTGGGGCGCTTCTTAACGACCAAGGTGATCAAGCTTAAATACTTGCGGCAAGTCATGGCTTCGGTATGGCAGCCGGTTTGGGGTATGCAAGCTACAGAGATTCAGCCAGGCGTGTTCATGTTTATCTTTTTTTTATGAAACCGACGTGCAGAGGGTACTCGATGAAGGGCCATGGTCGTTTGATAACAATACTCTGGTTTGTCGGCAGGTTATGGCGGGGGTTCGGCCAGGGGAGGTGGAATTAACCTCTGTGGACATGTGGGTCCAAATGTATGATCTCCCGATGGGTTATACATCTGATGTGGTTCTTGAGCAGGCGGCCAATTTTATTGGTACTTTTGTTAAGATGGATGATCGTTTTCCTGGGGCACCTTGGAAAACGTTCCACCGGGTTCGTGTGTCAATTCTAGTGGACAAGCCACTAAAGAAAAGGATGAAGTTGATCAAAAGGGACAAGACAAGCTGCTGGATGAATTTTCGGCACGAACGCCTGCATACCTTCTGCTTCTATTGTGGTATGTTGGGACACTCGTACAAATTTTGTAGGTTGGCAAGACGGTCGGGGTTGACCCCGGATCAATATCCTTACACGGCTGAATTGAAGGCGGGGGGAGGAGCCCGAGGCTCGCGTCAGGTGGGGGAGTCGTGGCTAGTCCCATTGGATGGGAAGGGGAGAGAGGCGAGGGAGGTGGTCGGAAAGGGGGAGGGTTCGGGTTCGGGTGGAAGGGGGTCAATGGGTGCGGGTTCGAGTGGAGGGAGGGAAGGCGAGGGGGTGGGGGTGGTGGCGATGTCTAAGAGGAGGAGGGGGATTGATGGTGGTGTGATAATGTCAGAAGTGCTAAAAAACGGACTTACGGCGGGTCCTGTGTTTCAAGCCCGCTCTTCATCATGAGTACGATAAGTTGGAACTGCCGTGGATTGGGCAATTCACGGACAGTTCGAGAAATTGTGGACCTTGTGTCCTGAAAAAAGTCTGATTTCGTCTACCTAATGGAAACAATGGTGGGGCGAATACATGCTGAGAGGGTGCGGATAAAAATTAGTTTTGAAGGCTTGTTCTATGTGGACAGTGTGCGTGGGGGAGGTGGCTTGGCATTGTTATGGAGGAAGAATAACATTGCTAGGCTGTTGAGTTTTTCGAGGAACCATGTGGATATTGAGGTGGCTATAAGGGAGAAAGTATGACGGATGACGTGTTTTTATGGCTTCCCGCAGAGAAATAGGCGGAGGGAGGCCTGGCAGGTGTTGTGTGGTTTGAAAGAGAAGTCTACGCTGCCTTGGGTGGTACAGGGAGATTTCAATGATCTTCTATACCAACAGGAGAAGAGAGGGGGGAATCCACACCCGGAGAGCCTGTTGCAAGGCTTTAGGGAAACGTTGGATAACTGTGGTTTAATCCAGCTACCGATGAGGGGGCATTAGTTTACATGGGAGAAGGGTAAGGGAACGGATCGGTGGATAGATGAGAGATTGGATAAAGTGCTTGTAACGGCACCATGGAATGATATGCATGAGGGGGGGGGGGGGGGGGGGGGGGGCTGGGTTGAGAATGTCCAAACTCGCAACTCAGATCACTCGGCGCTCTTTCTTAACACTAATACGGCACTACAAAGGCAAGGGGGACCGAGGGGCTTTCGTTTTGAGATGGCCTGGATTCAGGATGATGGTTGTAGGGAGGTGATTGAGACTGCCTGGCAGAATGGAAGAGATGGGGGTTTGCTGAATTGTCAGCAATATTGTGGTGGTAGGCTTATGCGGTGGGGTGGGGAGCACTGGAATAAATTTGGTGACCGTATAAAGGGGCTGAGAAGGGAACATGATGCGTTACGACATCGGAGGGATTCAGTTGCTTTGGCTGAGTTTCGACGGATTGAGGTAGAGCTGGGGCATGTGGAGGCTCAGAAGGATTTGTTTTGGCGGCAACAGGTTAAGCAGCACTGGCTTCGGGGGGCTGATGCCAATACGAAATTTTACCACAGGTACGCCTATACTATAGATTCATAATTTCTATACTATAGATTCATAATTTCTATACTGTAGATTCATAATTTCTATACTATAGATTCATAATTTCTAAACTATATAGTTATCAAATTATGAACATATAGTTCAGTGATTTGTGAATACAAAGTTCAACAATTGGGAATATGAACATTGAAAATTATGAACATAGAGTTTTGTAATTGTTAATATAGAGTTCAATAATTATGAATATATAGTATAGAAATTATGGATCCAATTCCGTGTGCACCATGCATGGTGCACACGGTTGCACAACATAATTTGCCGGTTGGTTTTTACCATCGTTATGCCATGGAACCGTGTTCACCATTCATGGTGAACACGGTTCCAACGGTGTTAGTACACCGTTATCTTTTTTGTTTTTTTCTTAATTAATTGCGTGACTTTTCTTCTTCATTTTCACATTTTGCGGTTTCACTTTAATTTGAGGTGAGCAATGATTTCGGACATTTATAAATTATGAATTCATGCCTGCACATTCACTTTGGAACCATGCCTACACATTCTCGTCCGAAATCACGGACATTCATAAATTATGAATCCATGCATGCACATTCACTTTGGAATCATGCCTACACATTCACTTTGGAACTATGAGATTATGAATTTTCTGTTATAAGATTATGAATTTTCAGTGCATAATTGCATATTGCATTGATAACCAGTTTTAATTGTTCTTAGTGCATACCACAGAATTACATCTCCCTATAGAAAATTTTACTTTTATTTCTTTAAGTATACAAATGATACACATTTAATCTTATTTATATTGACTAGCATTTTATACGCGCGATGCGCGAAAATTTATGCCCAATATTAAAATATTTGTAACAAAATTTTAAAAATTAGTTAAAATTATGTTTTGCAATTTCTTAAAATGATGATACTTTTGAATTATCATATATTTGAGTAATATAGTGATCAAAACAAAAAAAAAATTATATTTTTATATAATAATAATTTACAAATAATACTAAGCTAACACTCACATATATGATATAATGATATGAATACACAAATAATATACATACATATTATATATATACAATATATATATATATATATATATATATATATATATATATATGATACACATATATAATTTAACATTCATATACATATTTAATTAAAATATAATTTATAATTAAATTAATTGTTATATGATAATTTTAATAAAATGATAATTAAAAATAGAAAAAAGATATGATAGATGTAGGTGTATGGTAAGATTGGTAGATATATTAAAAACTAACTGTGTTATAACGGTGTAAGGGTGATTTTGTCAAATGCAAATGAATGTACAACAATTAAAGCAAAATGTATATATTTATTAGCATATAAAAAAGGGACAAAAATCAAGGACATAACTTGTATTGATACTTATTATGTTTTTAGATTAAAGAGTTAATTTCAGCAATGGTCCTCTGACTATATTGATTTTTCAAAATTAGTCCTTGACTTTTAATTTGGACACTTTAGGTCCCTTGACTTTCAATTTCTTTCCAATTGAGGTCATTTCGTCAGAATACGGTTAATTGAATTTTAAATGAAGGGGTAAACTCATCATTTCACTTGCCTGTGTATTATTCTTAGTATTTCTCCATTGTATACGCGATAAATATGAAGATAATCTTAGTCGAAACCCTAAAATGTTCCTCGTCGTTCCCCATTTGCTGACTACTCGTGTGTGCGTTCCTCTATTATTGAGATGTTTACAAGGTA